TACATATATATATATATACTTTATATATATACATATATATATATATATATACATATATAATCATATATATATATATATATATATATATATATATATATATATATTCACACACATACACACACACACATATATATATATATATATATATATATATATATATATATATATAAATATATATAATCATATATATATGCATATATATATATATATATATACATACATATGTATACATGTATATTCACACACACACACACACATATATATATATATATATATATATATATATATATATATTCTTTTTCTACAGTGAAAGGTTTCAAAATATATATATATATATATATATATATATATATATATTAATTCTTGCGAAGACAATTCATATAATTAGGGCCACTGGGTTTAAAGTCCAGCAACTGATACTCTTCAGTTAACACCCATCTTGATACAAACCAAATTCGACGTTCTTCCATGAAAGGATGTGGACCCCTGTTTCAACCTTCTACGGCCGTAAGCCTCGCAGAAGTTGTGGAAGTGAATTATTTGGTTGAAGGATTTAAGGAAAGGATAATTTGAAAAGAAAGAATAAAAGCGAATGACTAACGAAGTTGGCAGCTAGACGAAAAAAAGTATGCCCATGTTGAACATATTGTTCTAAACATGGGGCCTGGTTTTGGCACAAGGTCAAAATAAGGAGCAGTCACTGAGAATTGAAAAATACACATTTATAATACCAAATTACATTAGGCAACAGTGATGAAATCAAAACATTCAGTTCATAATGCGGAGAGAGACTAGTGAAGAGAAACTATAGAGAACGATAAAGGGAAGGCGAAAGAGAAAAAGCAATGATAGAAAGAGAAAAAGAAAGTGAAGCAGTGATAGAAAGAAAGAAAATGAAAAAAAGAGAAAAGGAGGGTTTGAAGAATGTAAGCAAAATAAGAGAGTCAAGAGTCAGAGAGAATGTAAAAAAGGAGTAACTCTCTCTCTCTCTCTCTCTCTCTATATATATATATATATATATATATATATATATATATATATATATATATATATATATCTCTCTCTCTCTCTCTATATATATATATATATATATAGAGAGAGAGAGAGAGATCTATATATATATATATATATATATATATATATAGAGAGAGAGAGAGAGAGCTATAGCTCTCAGAGAAAGAGAGGGTTTGAATAATGTAGGCAAAATAAGAGTATCAAGAGTTAGAGGATGTATAAAAAGGAGTAAAAGATATATAGAGAGGAGCTATAACTCTAAATTGAAATTAAATAATAAAAATAAAAGAAAGACGGTCCTGTGTAAGACGATAAACTACATCCGGCAGCAAGACCTTTGATCATGAGACTTGGAGGTGCGTGGAACCACCGCTTAATTGCTGGTGTTTCCAGGTCTACCCTGATCCGGCGTTGTAGCACCTGTTAAGGGTCTCAACTATGGGCAAAAGTTAATCTCAAAACTGGGGTCAAAACACTATGAAAGAATGAAAATATTTTTTTTTATGCGGGAGAGTCGAGTATATATATATATATATATATATATATATATATATATATATATATAACCATAAATTACAGCAGTCTATTTATAATAAAACATTTTGACTGTTTAAATACAAGTCTTTATTTATAAAAGACGTTAAACTTCAAAATTAAATGACACAATGGTATGACCAAACCAAAACAATTCTTTGGAATCATGACTGACTTGGCAGAAGGTATTCCCGCAGTAGGTTGCCGTTTCAACTTGCGGTAGACTGGTTGCCAACCAAGAATAGAGGACCCAGTCTGTCCTACTATTCAAAGCATAGAGATATATTCATAACTTTTCTTTTGCCCGTAAGTAAATGTAACGACTGGAATTCGAACTCAGCTCCCCGATTTCTCATTCCTAGACGATATCTACCACACCAGAAACGTAGGAAAATTAAAGAGACAATTGAAAAAGAAAAGAAAAGAAAGGAATGAAACAAGAAAGAAAGAAAGAAAGAAAGAAAGAAAGAAAGAAAGAAAGTAAGTAAGAAAAAAGAAAGAAAGAAAAAAGAAAGAAAGAAAGAAAGAAAGAAAGAAAGAAAAAGAAAGAAAGAAGAAAAGAAAGCCTTTGCGAAAAGATAGTTGGAAGTGAGAGGTAGCTGGAGAAAACAAAACAAAGAAGTCAATTAATAGTGAGAAAGAAAGAAAGAAAGAAAGAAAGAAAGAAAGAAAGAAAGGACAGTTGAAACATTAAGGGAGAAAGAAAGAAAGAAAAAAGAACGAACGAAAGAAAGAAAGAAAGAACAGTTGAAATATTATGGTAGAGTAGAAAGAAAGAAAGAAAGAAAGAAAGAAAGAATGAAAGAAAGAAAGGACAGTTGAAACATTAAGGGAGAAAGAAAGAAAGAAAGAAAGAAAGAAAGAAAGAAAGAAAGAAAGAAAGATTCATACTGAGGAGAGATAGTTTGAAGTGAGTGTTTAGCTGGAGAAACCGAAAACAAAGAAATCAATTAATAGAGAGAGATAGAGAGAGAGAGAGATAGAGAAAGAAAGAGCGAGAAAAAGAGAGAGAAATTGGAGGCAGACATGTGTAAGTCGCGAATGTTCCATACGAGAATTTTTTTTTTATTTTTTAATATTTTTTTTACAAACGGTTAACTGAACAGACTTCCCTATTTGTTTTGCCTTAACGATTAATCGATAAAAAAAAAGATCTGAGATATATCAATGCTAATTGAATCAAACAACCCCCATCTCCTAGATTAAATACTCTTTGATCATCAAAATATTAAGCTCAGACCACGGGAACCAATTGTAATAACAACGGTAATATCAGTTGTTCCCTTACATGGCATTCGATAACAGAACAGCCGGTGCTGCTCGTGTTACACGTTTCTTCACTAGCTGGCCATCGGTCTGGGATCAATGTGTAGTATCTGTTCTCTTCGTCTCTCATGTGGAAACATTCGGCAATCATTGACCAAGCAACCAGTACTATTTGTTTTTCAAAATACTGATCCACATTTCGAAGACTACTTTTTTTTATAACCATTTCACCCCAAGGAAGGCAATAAAACCACTAAGATGTAAAGTGGTTTCTGTGTGTGAGAATACGAGGAAAATATAATATTAAGGAGAAAGGACAATAATAGAAAAAGATCGAAGCAATCAGAAGATAACGATTGACATTGAATTTAAATTTTTGAAGATGAAACATAATTGGGAAGCAAGAAGCTGGAAGAGAGTTCCACAAGTAAGAAGTGCGATAGATGAAACTGTTAGCATAGAACTTATGGTTAAATGACGTGGCCATGCCGCTTAACTAGTACTTCACTTAAATTCATAAAGTCTAGGTATCATAGAGGAAAATAATCTTTATTTAGAAAATAGAAAAATGTGGCACAAGGCCAAGGTGGGCGATTGGGGAAGACTGTTCTTCCATCTGTCTTACCTTAAACTTAGCTAGCCACAATTACTAACCCAAACATACCACAGTATTCCTTACATTAAACCAACACATTCTTACTATTCTTACGACAATCAACATAATACCCCTGAGTCTCTATGAAATCCATACTAGTTCCAGAGATCTATAATTGGTCTGTGTGGGAATAAAAATAAAAAAAAAAAACAATATTAAAAAAGAAGAGGAAAGTAATATTTATTTTACGTAATACAAAAATGTAGTACTAGGTCAAAATGGGTGATAGGGGAAGGTTGGTCTTCAATCTGTCTTATATTAAACTTAGCTACCCACGATTACGGGCCCAAACATAGCACAATATTCCTTAAACCAAAAAATAGATTCTTAATTACCATTCTTATTACAATACCTCAAAGTCTCTATAAAAGAGGTAAGTTCATCGGAATTCTATAAGTATTTATAGAAAAGGCGCAGGAAAGCTATATTCCAGCGTCGGCAAAGAGACTAAAGCCGACATACCTGGTCAGGACCAATAAAATTGCAGTTTCTTCAATTTCGGAATATATTAGAATACTGGCTTAAAAATATGTCTATATTTCTGAGATGCGGTATTGTGTACATTATTTGCAATATTCGGACTATAGTTCAACATTCCAACCACCTGGAGAAGGTCGGAGCGTACAACAGCCGAAACGTTATAATAAATATAGCGACAAAGATGCGGGCAATAGTCCGAATAATATAAATAGTGTACATAATACCTCATCTCAGAAATATAGACAGATACTGAAAGGCCGAAACGTTGTAATAAATATAGCGACAAAGATGAGGACAATAGTCTGAATAATGTAAATAGTATACATAATACCTCATCTTAAAAATATAGACAAATACTGAAGGGCCGAAACTTTGTAATAAATATGGTGACAAAGATGAGGACAATAGTCCGAATAATGTAAATAGTGTACATAATACCACATCTCAGAAATATAGGCAGATTGTGAAAGGCCGAATCGTTATAATAAATATGGCGATAAAGATGAGGACAATAGCCTGAATAATGTAAATAGTGTACATAATACCTCATCTCAGAAATATAGACAGATACTGAAAGGCCGAATCGTTGTAATAAATATGGCGACAAAGATGCGGACAATAGTCCGAATAATATAAATAATGTGGCTAAACAATCTTAGAGTTTTGGGTCCTAGAACCCATACCATTTTCTTCTCTCTTCTACTCTGCAACAGAAGATGTAACATGGAACAAAATAGATCTGCACTCAGAAAATGACCAAAGGATGAAGAGTTTAACTCAGGCGTTACCTCTCTACATTTTAGGGAAATTCGCACGGGAAGTATCGTCCACTGCGCAGATTTGAATAGGGTTTGATACATTGGCGCATTTCCATGCTACTGGTTAGGAGATGGAGGATGGATGACGTTTTCTTTTCCCTCTTTTTATGGCAACTGGCATTAAGAATGAGATCTCAGGTGGATTTACGAATGACAAGATTAACATTATTACAAAGATGAACTTCTGAAGAATACGCAGAAACGGATAATCTAATAATACACTTTGGAGAAGA